CTAGCATAGGGTTGCAGGGTGATTACAACCTGCTCAAGTGTCAGAATCCCAAGTCTACAGGATGAAACTAAAATTTTATCTTATGAGGTGTTTGATGTTTACCCTGAACTAGACTGTGTAGGGTAGCTCTCTTTTTCGACTGACTCCACTCCATCTTTGTTGGTGAGAAGAAATAACACAATAGCGGTGTACAACAAAACTTCAGCAAATGTAAAGACAATGGGGACAAGAGTGGCAACTTAGGCTTCTGTATGTAGAGTATGTGAGAGAACGTATTTATGGCTCAGTTGGGAAGAAATTTGGTAATACTGACAAATTGAATTATTTAATATTATTAATACTACCACTTAGTGTACTAGTTTAAAAATCTGAAAACAGATCTAATGCAATCAACTTACGAAATGAACCTGTTAGTTTTATTTAATGAGACAAATGTATGCAAACTTATTAAAAGAATTTGCAAACAAATGGCTGGCCTTTATGGAATTCATCATGTACAACTGGCCATAACAATTAGTGAAATGAATGAATACTGCAGTCTTTGCCAGTTTAGGAGAAGTTGGCAAAAACATCAGGGATATCAGTTTCTGGGCATTAAAAGGTGACATCCATTTGATTTCTTCCTTTTTTGTATAAAAATCTGCCCTCTTGCAACTTCAATTTCTTGTTTATATTTCTATTAGGAATTTAATAAAATATTCTTATTTACTGAAATCAAATATCTTGCTTGGCCTGCTCTAAACATCCTCATTTTCCTTTTTTCTCCAGCTTTATTGAAGTATAGTTGACCAATAAAATTACATATGTTTAAGGGGTACAATTTTGACAATTTGTGATATATATGTATACATACATACATATATAACCATTTTCTTTAATTATTCCTTACCTAATATGATTTTAAGTCATTTCTCTCACAGTTCTTTCTCCTAAACATGGTCCAAGTTGATCATCTCAATTTTGACACCCAAAGTGAACAAACTTTGCTTCCAGATACAATTTTACTGTTACAAAGCAGAGTATAAACACTCTTTATTAGAATACTATAAAATACTAATGTAACCAACTATTACTACACCAGCTTTTAGTAGCCATATTCACATTTGGTTTCAGACTGATTTGATGGTCCACCAAAGCACTCAGTACTTATCACAAAAATTTCCAAGTCAGATCTTTCCCATCTGTTACTGGTGCAGTTTTTAAAAAAATATTGCTTTAGTATTAAAGTCTCTGATTGATTGAAAAATAAAACTTGAGTATACGCAAATGTGTACAGAAGAAAAGAAAAAGTCTCTCTACCGCAAGCATCCCCACTCGCCAGGTATATATTCTTCCAGAGCTACTGCTAAATTCCAATTTCAGAGATGTTTTAAAAGATTTTATGTTGACCCCTGATAATTATGACAATGAAAAATTTAATGTCTGCCTCAACACAACCTGGTCTTCCTGCATCCTGACTGAGTCCTTCTGAACTATTTTTATATTTGTATTAGACTAGTCGTCTTGAAATTCAAATCTAGGCACATCGATGACTCCCCAAGTTGTTAGGGTAAACCTCAAATGCCTTATCTTAACATACCAAGCCATTCACAATGGCCCCTCTCCCTCTCTGTAACCCCATCTCATAGCTCTCTGTGTCATAGCTCTCTGTACAGTAACTTTTGCTCTAGGCAAAGTGAACAATTTGTAATTTCCAGAAAAGACCTTGCTGTCTTCCACCTGGATTGCTGCATCCTCTTCCCAGAACAACTTCTTCATCTTCTTTTACGTAACAATTTCTAGTCGTATTTTATTTTATTATTATTATTATTATTGAGATGAAGTCTCGCTGTGTCACCCAGGTTAGAGTACAGTGGCATGATCTCGGCTCACTGCGACCTCTGCCTCCTGGGTTCAAGTGATTCTCCTGCCTCAGCCTCCTCAGTAGCTGGGATTACAGGCGCACACCACCATGCCTGGCTAATTTTTGTATTTTTAGTAGAGACAGGGTTTCACCATGTTGGCCAGCCTGGTCTCAAACTCCTGACCTCGTGATTTGCCCGCCTTGGCCTCCCAAAGGATTATAGGTGTGAGCCGCTGTGCTTGGCCTCTAGTCATATTTTAAAACACAGCTCAAGTTTCATCTGGTACAGCTGGCCTTCTTTTTCTCTCCACTTAGCTGTAGCTACCACTGTTCTATGACCCCACAGCAGCCTGGGTACATGTGCCTATTATGAACTTAACATGTCTTACTTAATTACCAGTTTTTAATATTTTATATCAGTCCCTCATTTACTCATTAGTTTACTCAATGATTTATAAATAAAATTAAAAGACATTTTGAAAATATATAAATGACAATTTACTATACATAAGGAGAAGAGAGTTCTGTAAACAAAATAGAAAATAACTGAAAGTTAGATTAGGAGTGGGTAAGGACAGGTAGTTTAGATAAGAAACAATAAAATGTTAATAAATACAGTACTGCTCAAAATCACTAATAATAATGAAAATGCAAAACTAAAACCACTACCTCATTTTTACCTCTCTGTTTTCCTAAAATATTTAAGTGATAATATCCAGAGTTAATAACAGGTTGTTATTTATGTACATTCTCCAAAAGGCATTTTGGTGATATTTATCAAAATTCTAATTGTTCACATTCAATAACACGGAAATGTGCCATATATTTGTGTAAGTACACAGAAATAAATCAAGAGGATGTCATTTGGAACACTGAAAATGACCTC